TCGTGATATTTATAATGACGAGGAATTTGATTTAAATCATATCAAAGACGTAGTACGTAGTCACATCGAGATTAAATACTACATTTAATAAGGAATTATAAGCCGAATAAAATAAAAACATCTGCCCTGAAGATAACGATAGTGGTGACAGATCAACTTCCAGTTCATTGCGCGCCGCGACGTCCCCCCCCCGCAGAGCAGCGTGAAATTGATAAACAGATTTCGGAACGGTTAGATAAACAAAGGATATACCTTTATCCATTTTTTGTAGCAATTCGTTTTTTGTTTGATGGACATCGAATCATACTTTCGTTTTCTAGATCCTTTGGGAGCTCCAGCATCGGAAATTCTATTTGACATAATCGAAAGTTCAAGCTTACTTTTAGAAAATTGCTCTTACAGTCTGCAAAAAATAATAAGCCGGATCCAATTCGAAGATTAAGGAACAACGCAATCATCAACATTAACTGAAATAGATAATTAGATAATTTTAGCTTATGCCGTCCGACGCGAAAACGTATTCTGCACTTGCGCAGACACATATGCGCAGTCGTAAATGTCTTGCGCGGACGCGTAAAACGCCTATGAGCATGCGTCAACGCGGCGCATGCGCAGAAAGATTTTAGCTTTGAGGTACGGATTATAGATCATTCCGGATTATGGGTGTCCGAATTAACGACTTTTGACTGTAAAAGATTTAATTCTCGAACTAATCTACAATATCATTTAAATTCAGAAGCATAAGCAAGTCGAGTGCAAAATCTATCCGTGAAAATAAATCTACTAATTTAATAAATTAAAATTAAATTAAACAATTTTTTTAAAAAATGCATATGTGAATGATCGTAGAGTAGGCAGGAGACAGACTTATCAAGGGGAAGTTGCCTCCAAACCTAACTCTCCAATCATTCAATTCGTGTTTCGTCATTTCGTCATTCAATTCGTGTTTCGTCATTTCGTCATTCAATTCGTGTTTCGTCATAAAATGTATGATCTTAAATTCACTTAGTGCGAAATCGAGTTGTTCTACTACTTGCGCAATTGGTGCAAAGTAAGTTAATAACAATTTATTTACTAAATAATATTGATTATACTATCTCCTAAGATTAATTATAGTAGAATTATTTGAAAAGAGTGAATCCATGCTTAGTAAGTTCTATTTCGAAAGATGTTTTGAAGTAACTTGAACTTAAATTGTTAAAAATGTTTAACGGGGACTTGAATTAAATCATGAATAACAAAATTTCAATTGCAAAAGAAATAAATTAAAAGCAAGTAATTAAATTAAATGCAAGTAATCATATATATATATACGTAAGTACAAACGTCACGAAAGAATCCATTTTAAAGTCCGTTTCGGAAAGAACAGCCATTTATTCTTTCTGTGCGTACAGCCGTTACATTAAAAAAAAAAAAAAAAAAAAAAAAAAAAAAAAAAAACCATCCAAATGGTTTTGGGAACGGTCAGAATAGATATTTGTGTTGAAGTAAAGTAACCGAAATTTTTTGCGATTACAATACTTCCTTTACTTCGTACAAGGAAGTAAAATAGAATATGTAATGATTTTAATGAGTCCAATTTCATAACATACTGAATATTTCGATATTTCGAATTAGAGATCTCATGATTTTGATACATGTTTATTTAAATCAATCACATTAAAAAGTGGAAAACATTTTTAAGAAGAGTGTTTATTGTTTTTAATCTAGATTAAATTTTAAAGTTTCTTATGTTTTACTGAATAGCAACACGCTAGCGTATGGGAAATAAAAGTATTTTATATCTGTCTAGGCAACTCATTGCTTACGTAAAACCGAGTTTGTTAATTTAAACTGAAAGGCGAAGAAATATCTGATATTTTTCTGGATGATAACAGTCTCGTGCTTTTGAGATTTGAACAGTGTTGTCACTGCTCGCTTTCAGATCGTTGACTTTGTTAATCAAAAATTCATTAGTTTTCCAAATAATAAATCTCTCAAATAAATAATAAAACAAATTCGGGCTTCCACGTGCACATGTTCGGATGGTGTTGTTCAAAATTTGATGGCTTTTGGTACAGTCGTTTTTTTTTTACAATAGTCGCTAGGTACGTCGCTAAGTCGTCGTAGGTCTAGGACCAAGAACCAAGGCATTTTGATTACGTAGTGCCTTTGCAATTAAATGTAATTATCTCCACATCGTCGTTAATAAATTTGAATAAAATAAGAAAGAATATTCGCTAAAGAAAAGGAAGAAGCCATTATGGGCTGAAGAAAGGAGCTGGTCAAGAAGTCTGCTGGGAACAAGAGTGTTGACAGTCTGCACTTACCTCAAGAACAGGGCGATTAAGAGCTCCGTTGTGAGGATAGGTCTATGTAATGGCGCCAGGTACGACTTTTTTTTTCATACATGCAGATTCTTCATTATTTAATTTCTTTAAGGGCGTTAATATTTAACCAATCAACGCAAAATCCCATTTCAAGCCTAACCGCGTCTTTTGGGCTAAAAATTAAAAATAGAATTCAGAGTTAAAGTTCATTACGACGCAATAACATCACAACCTTGAAACTATATGTTTCCCAGTAATGAAGAAGGGAAAATGGCATTTTCTTTGATACTAAAGCATATGTATATATATATATATATATATATATATATATATATCAAATGTTGTATGAACTTAAATCCATTTAGTGCGAATACAAGTTATTATTACTTGCGCAATTGCTGCAAAGTTAGTTAATAATAATTTATTTTATTTTATTTTATTTTATTTTATTTTATTTTTATTTATTTTATTTTTTTATTTATTTTATTTATTTTATTTTATTTATTATTTTAATTAATTTATTAAACTTAGGAGATAATATAATCAATTAAACAATACTCTGCCGTATTGTCTCAAGTGCCGATCTGCCTAATTTCGTTAGTCATTTAATAAGTTTTATACTAGATGACGCCACCTCTTTTTCGGACTATTTTGTTTGTAAAAGTAATGTTTCTGCTTATCGTTTCTTTCATACACAGTTTTTCCGTTAAATTTGAGAAGAGTTTTTAAAATGGTGTTTTCGAATCTTTGTTATCAATTTACTTTCAAATAGATTTTTTTTTCCACTTTTACATTACAAAGTTAAAATAAGAAACAAACGAAGTAACTGTTATATTAAGCGGTAAACTCTGTTTAATTTAACTCTCTTAAATTTTAATTTATCTCCCTGAAATTTTAATTTATCTCTTCATTGTCTGTCTCTCTCTTTTTAATACTCTGCTTACAACACATTGTTTGTAAATAGGTTTTGAAACAACTAAATATAGCAGTACAAAATCGGGTGTGTATTGTCTTAATTCTTATCTGTTTCATTCACTTTATGTGCGAAATTCTTGATATAATCTGTATACGGTCACTTTTAATTACATTAATATCGAGTAATTCATTGAAATACTTAAACCAGCTAACCTAATTAAAAAGAAAAAAAAATGACCCTTTTATTCCCACACTAAAAATTTTCTTATACGTCGCATAAAGCACAGAAAAAGAAATAAATGTTTTGCAAAAAGTAAAAAATTATGAATATGAAATAATGAAAAATGTAAATTTGAACAAAATGACAGAAGAGAAAAATATGTGAAAAACAACAAGTTTAGTGGCGCCACCTATCGACTCATAACGTAACTGCATAGTTAAGTAAAGTAGATCACCTATTGAGAGAATATCAATATTTTTCTTTATTATCCTTGTTTTTAAAGAGGACGAAGAATTTGTGTTTTAATCCTTTTAAAGTTCAAAACTTTTCAACCGATACATTTTTAGATGTTGAAATTTTAAAATCATAAACTCCAAACAGTAGGGAAAAAATATTCGATTTTTGAAAATTCAACAAAAAATCAAAAATGATATTAAAATTCTGGTACAAATTTTATTTAAAAGTTTCCTACCCCCGTTCTATCCGATAGTGCAAACAGTAAATTTATGAGATTTTAGTATGTTCGTTAAACAATTATATGCGCGAAAAATCGCATAACATTAAATTTAAAAAAATTCTGTGTTAAATTTGTAAGACAACATTTCATCACATTGCATTTTCATCCACAAATTGTGCGTGTACAAAATTTGAACTGAATGGCTTACAAAGGTAGGTTAAAAATCAGTGGCAAACTTCAAACCATAGGGACAAACACCAAAAGTGTATTAAATACAAAGCAGTACGCTTAGTTAGCATTAAAGTCCTTAAGTATTTTTATGAAATTGTACTAGCTGGCCTAATTAAAATCATTATATACATATATATATTTTATAATGACTATTTTAGGCTGGATGCTCAAGCGGCTAGTTGTTTATAATCTGAGCTATTTAAAAGCAATAAACTCATTTCATATTGACATAGATCTTTGCTTTATATTTAATACTTTATCGAACAATATAATTAACATAAATTAAAATGCATATTAAAATGCTTGCAAAGGGGGAAATTTTAACGCCCTGTATTAAGTGGCCTGCACAGAATCTTAATAATACTGCAAATTATTATTGCGTAGTTGAGAAAATTTTGCATTGTTTTAATACAGAAGTTAAAAAAACTATAGTTTGATCTTTTTAAAATAAATTAGTTTTTATTGCAAAGATAATATTCCTATTGCCCTTTAACTGCAAAACTTTGAACTGAATAGTAGTATGTTAGTAGATGACGCTACGTGAACTACTTTGAACTGTTAGTAGATGACGCTACAGTCGCACATTGAACCACATATTTCAAGAAAAAGTTTCCTGCCGCGCATGCGCTTTGTGTACAGAAGAAAAGCCGCCTTTCTATAAAACATTCTAAATATAAAATTTACTTCAATTTTAGTATTTCATGAAGCAGATAATTTTTTTTAAATATTTATTTACCTATAATTTATGTTTTGAGAATATTTATTTCCTCTTTATTGATCTTATTTGCCTTATTTTTTATGTGACGTCACCGCCCTGTGCATGACGGTCGTTTAAAAGCGCGAAATCCTATTTGGCGGAAAGTGAGCACGAGGTTTTAGTGTCTATTGGAAAGTGAACACGAGAGGTTTTTGTAGCTGTTGGAAGGTGAACACAAGGTTTTTGTGTCTGTTGGAAAGTGAACACAACGTGTTTTAAAGACTCAAAGGACTTAAATGTTTTTAGATTGGTCTGTTATCATGATTCCTGATATAGATGAATCGTATTTAAAAACAGATGAACTCTCAAGTGAATCGGATAATGTCATATCTAGCAGAAATAACCAAAACAATTTTTCGACTTGCAGTGAAAGTGAACCTGAACTTTCAAATAACCCTCGTTTTAATAATGATGAATCGCGTTTAGTAGCTGAAGAGCAATCGAGTGAAGCTGATAAAGATATTTTTAGTGAAAACAGCCAGCAAAGCTCTTTTTCAAGTCGTAGCGCCAGTGGAAGTGAGCTTGAATATTCAGGGAATCGTAAATGTAAAAACTCTAATTATAGTGTTCGTCGAGGAAGACCCAGATCAGAAATTATAACTTCTTTGATGGAGGAAGGTGCTGCATCCCAAAGCAACATAAAATGCAGTATTTGTCAACGAGTATTCCCTAGAACAAAGTCATTATCTGCGCACATGCGAACTCATACTGGTAAGTTCTCCATTTTGATTCTTAAGAGCTGGTGTCATTTAATTTGCGCAATGTAATTTTCTTGTTGTGTAGATAATAGTATTAAAGCAACATTATAGTTTTTTTGTGAATGAGTTCACATAATGTCAGTAGTTTGAAATAATACCATTGGTGTTGATGTTTAGAAAAGTGTTATGTGATGTTTAAAGCCGTAATTGTAGCAGATTAGTTTATGTTTAAAGCCGTGATTGCAGCAAATAAAGCTTAAAGAGTCGAGGGTTAAATTCACATGGCTTGGAATCCAAAATGTTTATTAAAATGGTTTATAAGGATTAAAAAGACGCACGTGGTGCTTGACGAAATAGTGTTAGCATGTGATTCTTATATGCTTGTGCATTTTGTTGTGCATGAAATTTTTATACAATATACTTCAGAAAGTGCATATTACATAGTGCAATTTACATAGTAACGATATTTTTATACAATATGCACCTGGTATTTTTGCAACGTTTAAAGCTGTAATTAGGCTGATAAGAATTAAAGGGTCGAGGATTAAAGCCACATGGCTTGGAAAACAATGTTTATTTAAATATTAAAACTATTACATGGCTGCTGTATCTTTAAATTCAAGTGATGGATGTTTTATGTTTAATTAAATTGCGTTTTAGAGAATAAATAAGTTTTATTAAATGTTGTAATTATGGCTTTTGTAAATTAAAAACACGCACGTGGTACTCGGCGAAATAGTGTTAGCATGTGATTTTTATCTGCTTATGCATTTTGTTGTGCATGAAATTTGTATGTAATAAAACTACAGAAAGTTCATATTATATAATAGTACAGGAAATAATTTTATGTAATATGGTCTCGTGTTATGTAATAAATGAACTGAAAAGGAAAATTATGAAATATAATAGGCAGTCAAGTATATTCTTAAATATTGATTTATTGTCACAGAATTTTTTTATTTTTGTATTTTATAACTAATTTATCTTCCTCAGAAATGCAAGTGCTCTCAATTTTTATAATTTAATAATAAGTTTAATAGTATTAATAATAATATATAAGTTTTATTAATAAATTTTTGGCTTTTATATATTTGTACTTGTTCATTAGCCTGACACAAATGGTTTGTATTTGCATCATTTACTATTGGCACAAGATCAGAAGTTATTAAAATGGAACATGTCAAATTGTAATAGACTGCATGAATTACATGGGTAAATCAGATTTTGAAATTTTACATTTCAGTTACAGTTAGAAAACTTGTTTGAAAACTTGGAAATCTTCCACTAATGCAATTTTATTGATCTCAGAAACCAACTGCTGGCCAAATATAGCATTTTTATGTGATTTAAAAAGAGCACAGTATTTGGGAATGTGTCATATTTTTTACACTTGACTATCACAACATTTTGTGCTCAGCTAATGAACAAATACCTTCTATTTAAATATAAATGTAGAATAAAACATTGAAATCAAGATTGTTGGATACTTGACTCCCTATAATCTGTGAAGAAAAAATGCTGCAGTGATGGTTTACCAAAGAAAACAAAATCATTTGTCTGAAATATCATCATCAGTGGCCATTGATAAATCCATATATATTTTAATTATGGAACGTTTACATTGGCTGACTAAGACCTTGCTCAAGATTCAAGGATAAACTTGAAAATTTGTTTCTGCATTTCGCATGTTGTTGCAGATGTAATAATACTAAACTTCTATTATTCAAAGTGTACTCTGTGATCAAGTATTTTCAGTTCTGAATCTTTTTCCTTCTAAAGAAGAGGAACCTATATCTCATCATCCTCGAAATCGATAGTTGTATTTAAACTAATGAACAAAATTTAAAATCTACACCAAAATAAGGTTGCAGGCTTGCCTAGTTTTAAACCTTAATCCTTTCTTAGTAAATTTTGAAAAAAGGGAGGAAAAACCTTTCGACGTTTCTGCAATAAACATAATTGCAGAAATTAAAGAAAAATTACATTTCTGGATGAAAAGTATTAAAAAAATTTAGTGGAAAATGGAAAGGGGAACAAATTACCATAATACCTGTAATGTTGGCTTTTCTCAATACCCATTAGTCTGTATAGTAAACTAATTTTACAAAGAATGACATCTCTTATCTATCTTAAAATTTCTAGATACAAGCTAATATCCAACTTATTGTATTTTAAAATTAAGATAGTAATCCTAATTTTCTTCACAATACCTTTCAGTATGACCAATTATTTTTTTGTATGAAAATGATTGGAAGCCATTTTTCTGATATTATTAATTAACATAATGATTGTTTTCCAGTGCTGCCTAATTTATATCAACATTAAAAGTTTCTCAATAATTGTAGAATTAAATTTTTGGTTAATCTTTGGATTATGGTAACTTGGCGATTTTTTTCGCAAACATTTGGCGACCAACCCTGCTACAGCAACCTGCTAGTTTTTTTCTTGGATGCCAATTTATTTTCATGAAGTGAAAGGCGTTTTTTTTTTTTTACTCAACATTATTTTTTCCAACAATCTGCTAGCCGAATTACGCTTATGCTAGAACTTTTATGGAACAAAAAAAATCATGACGAAGATTAGGTGCGAAATTGGAAGAAAGTGCAGAATCGCCCACTGCTTGCCGCGTTTTTAAGAATTGCACATACACGGTATCATCCATGTACACGTCGACCGATTTTCACTTAAAAAAACGTCCCAGAATTGCGCAAAAATGGCATTACGCACACTCTTGACTTTATCCATGTACACTGCTAAAGTCCTAGCTAGTAACCATTATTGCCTTACCAAAATGTTGCCAAACTACCTGTTACCATATTCCAAAGATTAGCCAAATTTTTTTTCCCTCAGAAAAGATGTATACTGCCTAATTTTTTCTTTCAATATAAGGTATAAATAGTAAAAAAGAGGGAATGTGAATTAATGTGGCAGATTTTTTAAAAAAAATTATTTTATAAGTGACCTAATTTTTATAAATTTCAGATATAAATAACTATAAATATTTAAAAATTTTTTTATCTCTGAACTATTTATAGTAGGTCAGTAATACTTTTTTTTTTTTTTTGTTTACATGCATGTACTTAGGGTTTTCTGCTAAAGAATAGAAGGAATTAAATAATAAAACTATTTTCTGTATTTACTGAAACAAAACCCAATACAGTTTACAGTTTGAGATCTGGAATTGTAATGATGGTTCTGGATTTTATTTCATTTGAACTCTGTTAAGATGAAAAGTAGAAATTTATTTATTTTATTAAACATTTCGGTAAAAGTTTACAATTGGGTGCCCCGGTTGATCTTTACAATATGGTAACTGGTAGTTTGGCGACATTTTGGAGGCGATAAAGGTTACTACCTGGGACTTTGTTAATAATGTGAGCAGTACTCAGTTCCGATTACGCATTATTTTGTGTGAGGGAAATGAGAGATCATGGGATATGTCATGTAATATTAATGGACGAATTACGGTTCTTTAATCAGAAAAGGGGGGAAATCGGGAAAAAATCTGGAAATTTTGTATTTGGCTTTATTCTGTGTTGTGTGAAACAGTGTTCGTGAATTTTTGGATCCCATGGCCGTAACTAAAGTGAATTCGAAATGGGTATTATTGTATGTATTAATTTAATGTATGTGCTCATTTATATTTTAAGTAGTGTTTTTGAATTTAATTATATTTTAATTAAATTATAGTTATTTTGTGAATTTTATGTTTGTAGGAATTTGGTATATGTTTTAGTTGAAGTAAACGTGCATTGAAATAATTTAAATATCTGACACTAAGTATTTGTAATGGTTGCGGTATGAATTCGTTGGTGATGTGTATAAACGGTAATAGATGATTTAGAGGTAAAAGTTTTTGGATATTTTATTTATTTTATATGTGGAAATGTTCATATTTGGAAAGGGTAAATACTTTTTCGCGATCAGGTAATTTCATATATGTTCTTTTTACAGGGTTTTTAAAGATTGAGAAAATTGTCATGTATTTTGTGAAATTTTTGTAATTTATGAGAAAAAAGCAGTGTACATGGATATAGTGAAGAGTGTGCGCAATGCCATTTTTTGTGCAATTCTGGGATGTTTTTTTTAAGTAAAAAATAAGTCGGCGTGTACATGGTTTATGTGTATGTGTTATTTTGAAAAACTGCGTAAGGAGTATGGTATTGTGCACTTTTTCCCAATTTTGCAGTGAATATTTGTCATGATTAAGCAGTTTTGTTAGATAAAATTTCTAGCATAAGTGTAATTCGGCTAGTAGATTGTTGGAAGAAGTGTTCAGTAGATAAAAAGAAAGAAACATGTCTTTACTACTTCGTGAAGACAAAATGGCGGCGGGAAAAAAAAAATAGAGGGTTGCTGTAGGAGAGTTGGTCGCCAAATTTTCGCCAAAAAAACGCCAAGTTACCATAATGTAAAGATCAACCGGTGCCCCTTATTTTTTTGGCAATTCTTTATTGACCCAAGATCAGCGCCAGGAAGGCATAATTTCAAGATGGCCGCTACACAAAACCAAAGTTAAAAAGTCAAAGAATTGCACAAACTCTGTGTCCATCGATCTGTTTTCACTTAACACTTTAACTGCTTAAGACGTGTTTAAACGTTTTTGGAATTTCTTTAAAAATGCTTAAGACGTCTTTACACAAATTTCAAATCGCACGAAAAATGCTTAAGACGTGTATACATGAAGCCCGAATTTCGCGAAGATTGCTTAAGACGTGTTTAGATGACGCGATCTGGTCTTCCTTCCCCTACCTTTCTGCAGGCTGCTGTCGGTTGACACAAAGGTCTTAATAGGGTGTGAAGTCTCTTTGAAAAAAGCACTTTAGGAAAAAGTCCTTAGAGTGAAGTATCTTTGTCAGACAGCAGGTATGTATTATCTGTGTGCTGACTAAAAGTTTGCGAAAGAAGATAAATCGTTTTACAAACTATTTGCCTTGTGGTACTTTATACAAATGAAAGTCAAACAGGATTCGACGTTGTTATAGTACATTGCCGAATTTTAGTAGAAAAAAG